GAAGCCCGGGCCCCCGGCGCCCCCGGGAGACGCGTCCCGCGATGGCGACGGCTCGCTGGAGCGGGAGCTGGAGCGGGAGCGGCGGCGGTAGCGGAAGCGGTAACTGGGCAGACGGAGGATGGCCGAGGGGCCGCTCCCGCCACTGCCGCCCGCGCCCCCGCCGGCCTTGAGCAGGTCCGAGCGAGACTGGCAGTGCGCCTCGCGGCTGCGCTCGATGTAGATGTTGACGGCCAGCACGCCGATCACCTCGGCCAGGATGAACGACAGCCCGCCGAAGTAGAAGGACCAGCCGTACGAGTAGTGGTTCTTCTTCTCCTCGTCCCGCTTCGGGCCCGGCTCGCCCGCGTTGGCCGAGATGTACACGATCACGCCGATGATGTTGCTCAGGCCTGGGCGGGGACGGTCAGATGGGAGCCCAAGGCCGCAGGGGCCCCGCCCCACCCCGGAATCCGCCCCGAGGATCAGGGACACGCCCACTCGAAACATAGGCCCCACCCCTAATTGGCCAACGGCCCCGCCCATGTGGCCCAGGCCCCGCCCCTGGCAGGCTTGAGTCTTGTCCCCCCTCGCCATAATCTAGGCTCCACCCCACTGTTGTAGGTCCCACCCCTACACCCTACCTAACTGGCCAACGGCCCCGCCCATGTGGCCCAGGTCCCGCCCCCTACAGGCTCGAGTCTTGCCCCTCCATAGCCTAGGCCCCACCCCTAACTAGCCAAATGCCCCGTCCATGTAGCCCAGGTCCCACCCCCGACAGACTTGAGTCTTGCCCCTGCAGTCTAGGCTCCACTCCTAACTGGTGAAGGCCCGCCCACGATCTAAGCCCGCCCTTGGCTGGGCCTGGTTCCCTACAAGTCTCAATGCCCCTCCTGGTGGTTTGGAACCCACCGATCCGTTCATTTAAATTCTACCTTCTACTGAGCTTGGCCTGGCCCTCAAAGGTCCTCACATAGCCTCTGCTAGCTCACACCCCAGTTCTGCGCGCCCCATATCCACCCTTGGGGGAGGGGGGATTCCCAAGTCCTGCCCTCCAGGTCTGACGAACAACCCAGGTGTCCTCAGGCCCCGCCCCCTGCCCCCGGTGACCTGTGAACGCCCGTGCTGACCCGGAGCTGCTCTGCGCGGTGTCTCCTCACCTAGGCCCGCCATGCGAACCTGAATGGGCTCAGACCCGCCTCCGGTTTGCCACACTCCACCCCTGGGGGGGGTCTTAGCGGGGGTTCCCGCCCCGCCCCAGCTCGCTCCGCCTCTTAGCTCCACCCCGGCTCCTGCACTCCGCCCCCGGAAAGGTCCCAGGCTTCTTCTGAGCATCAGTCAGACCCCAGGCCATTTCTCCTAAATGTGTGGGTCAGGACCCTGGCCCCAGAGACTCCAGTGAGGCACCGCTGCGAGCCCAAGGCTCCAGCTCTGTGCGGGGTGGAGGTGGGGGCACGCGCACGCGTGCGTGTGTGTTCTCCGCCTCCAAAGCGCTCTCCTCCCGGCCAGCGCCGCCTCTCCATCCATCAACACCCGGGCCTTTCTCAAGATTCCCCTTCCCCACTTCCCCAAGCGCCTCCCGTCGTGTCTCTGGGACCACGGGCTCCTCCCCACCCCGAACCCACCAGACACGGTGGTGTCCAAGCTAGCAGTCGGCCGCTCGGCCGCAGGCTACACCTACCTTACCCAGAGCGGGGCGGTGGGGCTGGGCAGCGGCCTGGGACGGCTCGGGCCCCAGGGGGCGCTCGGAACTGCGTCGCTTGGCGGGCGGTCGCGCGCGCGCGCACACTCAGACCCACGCGCGCAGACGCGCGCGCACGCCGACCCAGCGCGCGCGCACGTACACCGGTGCGCGAGCACACAGGCCCACGTCCGCACGCAGGTTCACGAACACACAGACGCACGCGAACACGGACCCGGACGCACGCACGCACGCGCCCAGATGCTCGCGCGCACGGGCGCGCGCACACAGAGGCACCCGCGTTGTGCGCTGGCTCACAGACTCCCTCTCCTTTGGCCTCTCACCTGCTGCCACGAACAGGATCCCCGCTCCCAGAATGATGTTCCTCTTGGACTTGTAGACGCGGGAGGCCGCCACGCACACGCCCCCAAGCAGCAGCAGGATGGCGCTGAGGATGGGGAAGATGCTGGAGGCCCGCACAACTCCTGGCGGGAGGGAGCAGAGGAGGAGGAGGAGGAGGAGCAGCCGCCGTCAAGCCGGACCGCGCGCCTCTCCGCTGCCAGCCGTCTCCTCCCCATGACTTTTTTCCCCTATCCCATTTTCTATCCTGCACTGCACATTCTCCGATCTCCCTCTCTCCGGGAATATTCTTTCACTGTTTCTCTAAATTGTTCTCTACTTTTCCAGCTTTCCCATTGGTCCTCTCTCATTGCTCTCTCTCTTTCTCATTTCCCTTTCCTTTTTCTGCTTTGGATGGCTCCAGATTTCGATCCCGCTTCCTTCCCTCGCCTTTTCCTCCTTCCCTCTCTCTTTCCATTTCTGTCAGGCCTCATCTTATCTTTTTAGTGGTGTGCTCTCTCTTTTCCCGCTCTCTCCCCTCCCTCCCCATCTCTTTCTCTGTCTTTAACCCATTCTCCATCTCCCCCTCTCTGCTGTCCTTTCCGCTCATCCCTAGAACCGCAGGCAACCAGATTTTGTGATTTCTGAGCCCGGCAGGACCCGCGGCCAATCATAATCCAGGCTTTGCCGCGTTCTCAGGGTGGCAGCCAATCACAGCACAGGCTTTCCCAACCGGTTCCCATGAGTGGGCCTACCCCCGCCCATCACGCCCCGTCCCCGCACGGCGACCAATCACAGCTCTGGAACCTTCAACCAGTTACGAGGCGGGATTGCCGCCAGTGTCCAAAGATAGCCAGGCATCAATGGGCACTCGGGATCTCCCATCGGCCCGCCCCTAGGCGAGAGGGGAGAGCCAATGGGGAGCCAGAGATCTCAGCCTCTGGCCCTGGACTGGCTGGGAAGCTACTTTAGGCTAGTGACCCTAGCGCCGCCCTTGGCGCCCTCCCGGCCCCGCTGCCCGCTGCCCGCTGCCCGCACGTACGGAGCAGGTACTCGGCGCTGTCATGGTCGTAGTCCGTGTCCTCCGGGAAGTGGTTGATCTTCACGCAGACGCCTCTTTTCAGCCCTGGAGAGGGGACGGGGTGGTGGAGGCGGGGACTTCAGAGTTGAGGGCCAAACCCCCAGTTGTGAGAAGACCCTCCCTTCCCCCCCAGGTCCCTTCTCGCTCTGAGCTGATGTCCTGGTCCCGGGCTGGTGTCGGGGTCGGACAACTTCCAGCCTCTCTGCTCTGTCAAGAGAAGACAGGAGGGGTAGGTGGAGAAGAGGCATGGGGAGAGGAGGAAAGAGAGACCACCACGGAGACCGTCCTCAAGGCAGGGGCGTGGGTCCCACCGCATCGGGGCGCCCTTGTCCCGTAGCCTGCGTTCCTTGCGAGGCCTGACAGCTCGTGGGAAAGGAGCAGTGGGAAGCCATGGGGACTTCGCTCTGAAAGATCCCGGGAGCTTGGGTGTAGGACTGCAGTCCCCGGTTTATTTCTTCTGGCTTGCTGAGGGACGCTCCCACGTGGACCCTGGGATGTAGTGGGCACTTTGAAGCTGCTTTGGGCTGGCCATCAACAGTGGTTCCTGCCTGTAAATCCTAACTCCGCAGCAGGCTGAGGTATGGAGGCCAATTTCCAAAAACAAGCAGCAAAAAGCGGGGCTGGAGGTGTGGTTCCAGTGGTAAAATGCCTGCCTCACTAGCTCCACCAAGCCCTGAGTCCAAACTCTGGAACCAACACACTCATACACACACACACACAGAGCTGGGACAGTGTCCTCTGGGGTACAGCAGCTCCCAGAGCTGCGCCCTCTGGGGACAGCAGGTGGAATTTGTAGTATTCTTCATCCTGGCAAGCAGAGTTCCAGCAAGAGAAGCCTGGAATGTGATTCCTATGTCCCCAGCAATGCCTGGGACTAGCCTGGCTCCTAAGAAGCCTCTAGGCGTGAGTGAACACATGACAACATGAGTGAATGGAGGAGAAAATGATAAGTAGGTATAAGAATAGAAGATGGGGACATAGAGGCAGACCAAGACAGGCAAAGCAAGGGAAGAAACAAGATGGGGGTAAGGAAAGTACTGGAAGGAATGCATGGAAGTCGGTGAGTAACACTGCTAACAGCTAAACTCTTAAGTGCTTCATATGTGCATGCACACGGGTGATGTCCACTGTGAACTGGACAGTGCTGGTGTTTTGGGGGGTGGGGTGTCAGGACTAGAGTTGTCTACCTCCCCAGGAAGCCAGGCTCTGCCTCTCCCTGGTCCCAAGACCTTGTTGTCAACTTGCGTCTGTCCCCTCCCCTATAAAAGATGGACAGCAGCCGGGCACCGGTGGCTCATGCCTGTAATCCTAGCTACTCAGGAGGCTCATGTGTGGGGGGGTCATGAGGCTTGAACTCTGGGCCTGGGCGCTGTCCTTCAGCTCGTCAGCTCAAAGCTAATGCTCTACCACTTGAACCACAGCACCACTTCCGGTTTTCTGGTCGTTCATTGGAAATAACAGTGTCACGGACTTTCCTGCCGGGGCTGGCTTTAAACCTTGATCCTCAGATCTCAGCCTCCTGAGTAGCTAGGATGACAAGCATGAGCCACTGGTGCCTGGCCTAGGATGCTGCTTTAAAGCCAGCCTGGGCAGGAAAGTCCATGAGACTCTTATCTCTAGTTAGCCACAAAAAAAAAAAATCCAGAAGTGGTGCTGTGGCTCAAGTGGTAGTACATTAGCTTTGAGTAAAAAAGCTCAGAAACAAGAGCCCAGGTCCTGAGTTCAAGCCCCAGGAGACACACACACACACACACACACATACACACACACACAAACACACACACACTGAATGGCCGCATCTGTCCGCCACAGGTTGGTGTGAGGGTATGAGGGACATTCAAGGCTTCACCTGGAATATTACTGAGCACTCTACTGATTTATTGTACCCATTGCCTGGATGTGAAAATCAAGGCACTGGTTCCTTCATCAGCCCTGCTCTGATGGGCTAAGGAATGAGACCTCAAACCCACAGCTCTGGGGAGGGAAGCATGTGCCACTACCCTTCATAAAGCAGCATCCAGAACATCCCAGCTCAGCACACAGTCAGTGCCTAATGTTTTCACTGAAAGAATAACTGGATGGGCCGGGCATCAGTGGCTCACAGCTATCATCCTAGCTACTCAGGAGGCTGAGATCTGAGGATTGTGGTTCAAAGCCAGCCCAGGCAGAAAACTCCATGAGACTCTTACCTCCAATAAACCACTCAGAAACCTGGAAGTGGCACTGTGGCTCAAGTGGTAGAGCACTTGCCTTGAGCTGAAGAGCTGAGGGACAGCGCTCAGGCCTGGAGTTTAAGTCCCACAACACTCTCTCTCTCTCTCTCTCTCTTACACATACACAAACACAAGAATGACTGGATGGGGCCAGACACATATAGAAAGACGTTCAACATTACCGATCACCAGAGACATGCAAGGGAAAAAACCACTACCCTCTTTTCCTTCCTTTCTTCCTTTTTATTTCTTTCCTTCCTCTTTCTATCTTTTGTGTGTGTGTGTGTGTGTGTGTGTCTGAGGCTTGAACTCAAGGCCTGGGTGCTTCCCTGAGCCTTTTTTGCTCAAGTTTGATGCTCTATCACTTGAGCCACAGCTCCACTTCTGGGTTTTTTCGTGGCTAACTGAAGATAAGAGTAGTTTCACTGACTTTCCTTCCCAGGCTGACTTCAAAGCATCATCCTCAGATCTGAGCCTCCTGAGTAGCTGGGATTACAGGTGCGAGCCACTGGCGGGCTCTCAAAAGCACAACTTTGGGCATAGAAAGCAATCTTGTGTGATCTATTGTGCTCTTACACCCTGCCCCCAGCTCGTCATTTCTTTTTCTTTTATGTGGTTACCAGAAAAGGTTAAATTCTTTCTGTGGCCTGTTTACACTTCCCCTGGGCACAGGCAGGATGGGGGGGGGGGTGGAATGTATTGAAGGGCGGCATCCAGCAGGGGCGGGGCCTGCCAGCCTGCTAAATGCTTTTCACCATCAGCCCATTGGCTCCCTACTCCCCCGACCATGTAGGGTGGGGGTGGGGTGTTGCTGGGTCCCTCAGACACAGCCCAAGCTTGCACCGCTGGCTGCCGTCCTGTCTCCATCACCGCACTTCACCCATCTCAGAGGCGTGCACAGAAAGATGGGTGCTGGAGCTCCCAATTTCCACGCAGTAGCACCAGGTCCGGTTTCTGTATTCTGGGCCCACCAATGGCAGAGTCTCACGCCTGTCACCCTAGCTCTTCAGAAGGCTGAGATCTGAGGATCTTGGTTCAAAGCCAGGCTGGGCAGGAAAGCCCGGGAAACTCTTATCTCCAATGAACTACCAAAAAACTGGAAGTGGTGCTGTGGCTCAAGTGGAAGAGCGCTTGCCTTGAGCTGAAGAACTGAGGGACAGCGCCCAGGCCCAGAGTTCAAGTCCCATACCCCCCTCCCCCCCACACACACACATGAAGAGATGTGAGTCTCACGGGGACTTTCCTGCCCAGGCTGGCTTTGAACTGTGACCCTCAGATCTCAGCCTCCTGAGGAGCTAGGGTGACAGGCATGCACCGCAGCAGAGCGGGGTCCCCCACTGATGGATGATGGAGAAAAGATCACAATGGAACATGGGTTGGTGGTGGATGAAAATAACAATGAGAGCTGGGAAGGTGGCTCAGTGGTAGAGTGCTTGCCTTGCATGCCTGAGGCCCTGGGTTCGATTCCTCAGCACCACATGAGCAAAAAGAAAAAAGCTGGAAGTGGTGCTGTGGCTCAAGTGGTAGAGCGCTAGCCTTGAGCTGAACAGCTGAGGGACAGCGCCCAGGCCCAGAGTTCAGGCCCCATGACTGGACTCCCCCACAAAAAAGAAAAACACAATGGAAAGTTGGATTGAGACGTGGGGTCCCCAGATTTCATCAACGCTTGTGGAAGACACAGGAGCTTCCCCCATGCCCGAAAATACTCACAAGATGGCGTCCTCGGACCCTTCCAAGGGCTGCCTGAGCGCTCCGCGGTGAATGCCTTACATGCACTGTAACCCTGAAAAGCGCACATGATGGCTCCCCCCCCCCCAGAATGAACGAGAGGAAGGCAAATGAAAGAAATGCAGTTAAGCCAACTGCGGTGCTGCCTGTTTAGTACGTTCACCTGGAATCCGGTCTCACCTTGGCCCAACACCAGAGGCCATTTCCTCCCCCCAGAGACAGCTGGCAATGGTCGGAAATCTCCGGGGAGGAGACAGCTGTCACCCAGTGGGCAGAGGACACCGCGTAACGCTCCATGCAGCCCACGCCACACACAACTCTCCCGGTGCCCGCTGCCTCCTGCCTGTTACCCTAGCTACCCAAGAGACTAGATCTGAGGACCATGGTTCGAAGGCTAGGCAGGAAAAGTCCATGAGTCTTTATCTCCAAGTAACCACCTAAAACTAGGAGTGGAGCTGTGGCTCAACATGGTAGAGCATGAGCCTTAAGTAAAACAGCTCAGGGACAGTGCCCAGGCCCTGAGTTCAAGACCCACAACCAAAAAAAAAAAAAAAAGAACTTGGAAGATCTAAACTCTTACATCTTTGAGCACATCTCTACTATGTTTCCCCAACCCTTCCCTCCCTCTCTTCCAGCCACACTGGCCTCCCACTAGTGGCCAAGGGAGCACCCAGGTACACTCTGACCTCAGGGCCTTTGCACCTGCTGTTTCCAGAGCACAGGTATTTTCCCCTGACTTATCCATGGCCGCACCTCACTGTTGAGTCCTGCACTCAAGCGCCTCCTGCTCTGTGAGCTTCTCCTGGCCTCCCTCCCACCCCTGGCTCCCGCTCCTACTAGGTACTCACTTCTGTATAACACCTTAAAAGTCTCATTTATCTCCCTTCTCAACTATCTCCTCTCCACCATCCCATGGCATATTTAGGGGTATGGATTCTTGTCTTCCTCATGCCCTCTCTATTGCTTGAGAGTTAACGATGGCTGGAGGCAGGGCTCAGTTGGTAGAGTTTGTCAGGTACTGAGTTCAAGTCCCAGGTCTTGGGCCAAAAATCAAAAAAATGAAAGAATCAAGGACAGAGCCTGGCACATACTACAAAAGCAACAAGACTTGGTTGATGGACAAGTGAGTGAATGAGTGAACGAACGAATGAACAGTGACCCTGTTCTTTCTCACACACACTCTCCTGGCCTCCGCCTGCTGTGGGGCAGGGCCAGTGAGTCAACACACATTCAATGTCTTCCAGAGGCAAGTACCGTTCTGGGAGGAGAGGGAGGGTAGGAGGACCCACGTGCCCCTGGTCTTGGTGGAACACCGGCCTCCGTGGTGGGAGCTCCAGAGAAACCCAAGGCTGGACCTTCATGGAGAGACCTCCCTCTCTTTCAATGCTGGATCCAGGTTTGGAGGTTCCATTTAAAAACAACAAGAGTGACAACAAAGCCCCTCTGGGAAGCCACTCCCACTGCCTCACTGGGTTCCCTGCTTCAGTTTCCTAATCCCTGACCAGAAGGATTAAATGAGATCGTTGCGTTCTGGGCCAGTAGCAAGTGTTGGGAAGGCAGAGGAAAGGAAGGTGAAAGAGGGCAGAGCCGGGGAGGGGTGCCCACGGGGGTGCCCACGGGGGTGGTGGTGGTGGTAATGGTGGTGGAGTGGCTGGTCTCCTGCCTTGGGTCGCAGACAGGGGCCCTGGGGCTGCGGGGTGAACACACAGCTGTCACTCGGGGCCTCCTGAAAGACTGACCAGGGCTGGCCAGGGAAAGGGCTGCGGGCCTGGCGCAAAGAGAGGTGCCCAACACAGAAGAACAAAGATGGAGACTTAGCCGGGCACCCAGGCGCACGCCTGTCATCCCGGCTACTCAGGAGGCTGAGATCTGAGGATCTCAGTTCAAAGCCAGCCTGGTCAGGAAAATCCGTGAGACACTTATCTCTCATGAACCACCAAAAAGCCAGAAGTAGACCCGTGTGGCTCAAACAGTAGAGCACCAGCCTTGAGTGAAAAAGCTCAGGGACAGCGCCTAGGCCCTGAGTTCAAGCCCTAGGACCGGTACAAAAAAGAAAAAGAAAAAAGAAGGAAAGAAAAAGAAAAGAGCAAAGACAGAGGATGCGAAAGAGGTGGCAGTGAGGCGGGAGGCTGTGGGGGGAAGAAGGAGGCATGGCTGGAGGAAGTGGGGGCAGGCGGCAGGGAGAGAGCAGGAGAGGCAGAAGAACGGGGAAGGAGCCAGGCAGGAGTGTGGGGTTTGGGGAACCTTTAACGGGAGGCTGGCTGGGGGAACTGCAGACTTGGGGGATGGAGGAAACAGTGGAGGTCACCGAGCGAGCGAGGGGCGGGGGTGAGTCGGGTGGGGGGGAGGGGGGAGGCTGGGTGAGGAAGAGCTGAAGCAGGGCACTCAGGGCTCACGCCTGTCATCCCAGCTACTCAGGAGGCTGAGATCTGAGGATCACGGTTCCAGGCCAGCCTGGGCAGGAAAGTCCCCGTGAGATTATCTTCAATAAACTACTCAGAAAAAGCCCGAAGTGGCAGTTTGGCTTAGGTGGAAGAGCACCAGCCTTGAGCAAAAACAAGCTCAGGGACTGAGCCCAGGCCCTGAGTTCCAGCTCCACAAGCAACAACGACAAAAATTGTTAAATAAACAAAAAGGGCTGGGCGCTGGTGGCTCACGCCTGTAATCCTAGCTACTCAGGAGGCTGAGATCTGAGGATCACGGTTCAAAGCCAGCCCGGGCAGGAGAGACCGTGAGACTCCTATCTCCAATAAACCACCAGAAAACCGGAAGTGGCACTGTAGCTCAAGGGGTAGAGTGCTAGCCTTGAGCTGAAGAGCTGAGGGACAGCGCCCAGGCCCAGAGTTCAAGCCCCACAGCCGACAAAAAAAAAAAAAAAAAGGAAGGTAAACCGAGCCAGGCACTGATAGCTCACACCTGTCATCCTAGCTACTCAGGAGGCTGAGATCTGAAAAGTCCCCGTGAGATCTCCAATGAACCACCAGAAAACCAGAAGTGGCATTGTGGCTCAAGTGGTAGAGTGCTCACCTTGAGCTGACGAGCTGAGGGACAGTGCCCAGGCCCTGAGTTCAAGCCCCACAATTGACAAAAAAAAAGAAGGTAAACTGAAAGCAGACCAGTGGAGATGGGAGTCCTTCAGAGAGAGAGGAAGGGGTGAGGGGTGGTGGGAAGAGAGTGGGGTGCAGCACAGGTGTGGGAAGGGCACCCATAGGTGCTCAGAGGCTGGGACTTGAAGGCTGGGGATGCCCGGGCCTCAGGTGGAGGCCCAGATGGGAGGTTTGGGAACAGAGGTCCCCAGAACCAGCCCACCTCCCCCCACGCCTGTGCCAGGGGCCCACCCTACCTTCCAGGCAGCAGATGCGCCAGAGACCCGAGTGCGTGAGCCCCCCGGGGTCCTTCTTCTCCGAGGAGCTGCCCCCGCGGTGGGGGGGTCCGTCGTCGCCCCCCGTGAGGTTGGTGGTGTTGCAGATGAGTGCACGCGTGTACAGCCAGTAGTCGGTGCTGATGGCGATGGTCATGAGGCCGAAAGCAGCGAAGGCGCCCACGGTGGTCAGCGCCACCTGCACCCCCTTTTCGCACCACAGCCCTCTCTCCTCGTTCCAGCGCTTCAGCGACTCCAGTTTGACCATGGGCAGCCGGGGGGCCGTGGGCCACCACCGGGGCAGCGGGGGCGGGGCCGTGCCGGCGGCTGGGGGGGATCACGGCCAGGCAGAAGTGGGGGGCCCCCAGGGCCAGAGGGAGGGGGTGGGATGGGAGGTGGCGAGCAGGTGGTGGCTGCTGGCAGGGTCAGGGTGCAGCCATGCTGGTGCCCAGCTGGTGGAGGCAGGGGAGAGAGGAGGAATTAGATGAGGACCGCCACCGCCCCCCCTTCCCCGGCCTCCTTCACTCCAGGGCACCCCCAGCAAACTGGGGGAGACTCCAACTCCACCCTCCTCCCAGCCCCCCTGGCCTCCAGCCCCTCGGCCTCCTCCTCCCCACAGGACCCTCTGCCCCAGCCTCCCCCCAAGTTTTTCCTTTTCCTTTTCTTTCTTTTTTTTGGGGGAGGGTAGTCCCCAGACTTGAACTCAGGGCCTGGACGCTGTCCCTGAGCCTTTTCACTCCAGGCTGGAGCTCTACCACTTGAGCCACAGCTCCATTTCTGGCTTTTTGGTGGTTCGTTGACAATAAAGAGTTTTATCATGGACTTTCCTGCCTAGGCTGGCTTCAAACCAGGATCCTCAGATCTCAGCCTCCTGAGCAGCTGGGATGACAGGCACCCGCCAGCTCCCATTGCAGCTTCCTCTACTTAGGAAAAATAAATCTCTCAATCCCTCTTCTGCTTAGAGGAAAAGTCTTCCCCAGGGGCCTCACCGTGAGAACCGGCTTAGGCAGCCACGCCACGTCCACACGGGCCTCAGTGTGGGAACCTCCCTCCCCGCTTCACCCCTACAAAACACCTCCAAATTCCCACAGAACCCTTAAAAATCCGCATGCTGTCAGGAGCCGGTGGCTCATGCCTGTCATCCTAGCTACTCAGGAGGCTGAGCTCTGAGGATGACAGTTTGAAGTCAGGCTGGGCAGGAAAGTCCATGAGACTCTTATTTCTAATAAACTGCTCCGAAAATGCTGGAAGTGGCCCAGCCTTGGGCAAAAGCAGCTCAGGGACAGTGCCCAGGCCCAGAGTTCAAGCCCCAAGACCAGCACACACACACAAACACACAAATTCACACACTGGAGTCTTGCCTGAGAAATTCTGGCTTCTCTGGGTTGACATGCAGTTAGGCATCTTGGGTTTTAATGCTCCCTGGGGATGCTGGGTTAGACCACCTGCCCCTCAAACTACCCGCCCTCCCCAGTGCCCTGCTCTGCATTTGACTTACAAAAATGACTTGGTTTAAAAAAGGGGGCACTGGTGGCTCACACCCGTCATCCCAACTTTCAGGAGACTGAGATCCAAAGATCGAGGTTCAAAGCCAGCCTAGGCAGAAAAGTCCATGAGTTTCTTATCTCCAATGAACCACCAGAAAACTGGAAGTGGCACTGTGGTTCAAGTGGTAAGCTCAGGGACAGCCCTGAGTTCAAGCCCCTGGACTGACCAAAAAAGGAAAAAGAAAAGAAAGACAAAGTGTTTTAGCGGGGAGCCAGTGCCTCTAGCGTCATCCGAGCTACCCAGGAGGCTGAGAGCTGAGGATCAAAGTTCAAAGCCAGCGGTGGACAAGGAAACTGTGAGACTCTTATTGCCAATGAGGCACCCCCAAAAACGCAATCGTGGAGCTGTGGCTCAGAGGCAGAGCACCAGCTTTGAGAAAAAAAAAAAAAAAAAGCTCAGGGACAGAGCCCAGGCCCCTAGTTCAAGTCCACGGCACAAAAGGAAGTCTTCCAAACCTGGCCCCTGCTGTCGCACCACATAGACCAACTCGCCTCGCATCCCTTTCTCCTCCACTAAGAAAACATGTCGCCCCTCAGCCCGGGGCTCCCCCAGACCCTCCCCGCCTCACAGAGGACTCCCCCAGACCCTCCCTGCCTCACAGAGGACTCTCCCAGACCCACCCCGCCTCACGGGGGGGGTCCCCCAGGCCCTCCCCGCCTCACGGGGGAGTCTCACTCTAAACCCCCATCTCTCTCCATCGTGTATGGAGCCCCCTCTCTGCCTCTTCCCTGCCCCCTTCTGTCCTCTACCCCTCCCCTGTGCCAACTCGAGGCGCCCCGCCCCCGTCCGGACAGAAGCCCCCCAATCACCTGCGCCCTCCGAGAGAGCAGGGGATGAGGGGGAAGTGGGGACCACAACTCCTCCCCGGGGGTGCGAGCAGCTCCTCCCGGCCCCGCCGCCCTGGGCCCCGTCTCGGCCCATCCCCCGGGGCCCTAGGCAGGGCTCCAGGGCCACCCTGG